TACCAGTTTAAAACCGAATTTGTTTTTTTTAACGACAATTCATTATTCGTTTTCATTCAAAAACCTGCCTTATGCTATTATTTATTTATTCTCAATTAAAACAAAACAAATTTTATTGATAGATATTTTGGTTCTTGCAACACATTCAACGTGACGGACGGAAACCTCAATAAATCTCCCTTATTTGAAGTATGTAGTCATCAAAGACTCGAAAATCAATTTAATACGTTTGAAATGCATAAAAATGTTTTTCAAGGCGTTTACATGGGATACTTACTTCATTTTCGTATAGGGTGCCAAGTGGTCCCGACCCGTGGCGGGGCAAGTTGCCCCCCCCCCCCTGAAATCAATTGTTTTTTTTTTTTTTTTTTTGTTAAGTTGTGAGCCATCTGGCATTATATTTGAAATATAATGACGTTGCATATGTAGCTTAGTTTATGGGACTTACTTTGAAACCGGTTTTGTTACTCTAACCAGGGAATTATATTGGATATAATTCCCTGGATAAATAGACGTTCAATTTGGTTCTCTGGCTTTCGGGAAATTTCCCTATAATATCTGCCACCCTGGTAGACGGTAGGTTCATCTGTGTAGTGAAATACCAAAATAATGTAACTAACAAGTTCAAATGTGATTCAGTATAGTATATTTTGAACTTAAAATGCAATCGGCTACACTGACGCGTAACCTTGTTATGTGAGTACCCCCAAACAGATCACGTGTTTTGCGGAACGCTGCAGCCACGACAGTATCCGACTTCAGAATAAATATTAAAACCACCAGAATGTGTTTTCTTTCAGGTCCAAGAAATGAATGCTCATAATAGATAAGCTACAGGCTTCCCGCAAAATACCTAAGCCATTGTCAGCCACAGCCTGGTTATCTATTAAACTGAATTTCAAACGGATGTGGATGTGTGCTAAGAATAAGGTTACTAAAGGCGATGTAAGATGAGTTGACGGAATTCATAATCATCACACCCCGTGAATCAAAGGGGGGCATGTCGTTTAACATGTATTTGTGGTTTAACTTCACCCTTCTTTTGAAAATGGCACGGTCGCTGGGCACTTAGTCACGTGACTTCCATCCATTGTCCAGTCGGCAATCTTCGGCTGACTCCGCAAGCTCCATACGGTTTTTCAGTAATGGCGGTCCTAATTTGCATATTTAGGAAAATTGTCTAAATCTAATTCTAACAGAAATATCTTCATTATATTCCTCGACCCTGAAAATATAGGTAAAGACACTTCATTTGTCATATTCGCCAGTCTAGTTACAGAGATATTGCAGAAAATTGGAAATCTGACGGCCATTTTGTTTTTTGCAAATTAGACAGTTTAAAACGCAAAAATTCGCTTGGGAGCCGGGTTAATCGGCTAATAAGCCTGGTTCCCAACTTTTACCCCAAAATGCCCCTACTATTCATATTTTGTGGAAATCCCACTAGACTACTTGATATTAATTATTGCGGCAATGTTGTCGTTTTGTACCAGACCCTTGTCTTTTTTTCTTCCTCAGTCTTTCTCACTATTTATTGGGTGAATGAGCCTATTACTCTCAGGGTGGGCTCCCGCAGTTTTTGGAATAAATAACGACGAAGTTATTAGCATACACCACTCATATTGACGTGGAAATCGTGATTGTATAGACGCCAAGCAGGATGCGCTCTCTTGCCGTTTTGGTTCTTGTGACTTGTCTTATGTCCCTGGCAGCAGCTAAACCTGATAGAGTGGCCTGTTTGGTCTGCAAAAATGGGAATCTAAGTAAGGTTTTTCATGTTCTTTCTTGATTTTGTTGCCTAACGTTGAATATCTGTAAGTAAAGATAAAAAAATTCATACAGAAATATCCATTCTGCAAGTATCTGGGTTATTAGAAGCGAAAATTTAAGTAAAAATGAAACAATTTAAAATCAAATCATTGTCGGTTTCAAGTCACATCGGTTGCGTACTCTGGCGTGGATATTTAGTACAGCTGATTTCATACAACTTCTACAGAAATGTTTACAAATGTTTACAGAGGAAATACGAAGACCTCAGTGCTATAACATCATAAGTCCATGTGACGAGAGGATCTTTACTTGTGCAACGGGATACGAGTGCATGTAAGAGTAGCCAATTATTACTGACTTAGCCGTTTATCACCGAATTACCCGTTTATCACTAACTTAGTCAATTATTACTAATTGAGCAATTTACATGACTTTTAAGGTAAGACTTTATTGGCTCAGCCATTTATCACTGATTTATTCAATCATTCCTAACTTCGCCATATTTGTTTCCAGTGTTGGCTGCGACTGCACTGCAATCTGCACCAAAGACAATGAATGCATCTAATGCAGCAAGAGGCACATGAATTGAACGACGATGGTCTAGGTCTCCTACAGATATGCAATTTTAAAATGCAATCTTTATAGTTAAGCCTTACATTAATAAAGTGGCATTTGGCCAAATTTATCCGTGACCTTGGTACTGTTTATGGGCTTGCTATTCTGCATAGGTGATTCACCTCATTCAGGATAAGTTTCCGGCTTATTGTGGCTTTCACTCACCAACTATATATCACGCTAGGGGATATAAAACACTGTAAATTGTCAACAGTAGTTCTGTTATTTTATCTTCACCTGTTGACATTTAAGTACTGTAGTCTTCAGTACTGTAGTATTTGTTAAACCTTTTTCTCAACATAATCAATTTATTAAATTTTTTATGTATTTCGTTATTTTAATTTAAGCTTTACCCCAATCGAATAGAAAGCTCCAATACCAACACCAAACTTTGCTTATAAATACGATGGTCCACGACAGCTTTATTCAGATGTCAATGAAGACATAATGAGATTGAGGAAATGGATTTGATTTATGACACTGCACTCGTTTGGTACACATAACCTTGACTAGGGAATTATATCGGATATAATTCCCTGCCTTGACTTCAGTTCAATTAGGTGTGGGATCGATTTTGCTACCAAATAAAAACTTCAATTTTTTTCTTCAATTTTTAAAATTCAGGCGAGTACAGGAAACCTTCCTGAAAATTGCAAATTTTCTACTTTAGTTAAAGTAAACTAGATCGAATGGACAATATGCAATGGTGCTGCGAGCGACAGTAACGACGGTTTAAAATTAAGTCGGTTATAATTATTATTATTAATTTTTTTGTTTGTTTCATAACATTTTTTTCAGTAATTTAAAATGCTAAACTGATGTATGTATTTAAAGTTCCATTTGGACAAACAATTCTACACAGTGTCTTCCGCCATCTTACTTTTAATAAAATAAAAATGTTAAATGGACCTGAATATTGAGAATCGGTGCATAATTAAGGCAGCTCAAATAATAAAATATTATGAAATAATAAGCTCAGTTCTTACTAGTTTAAATTGATTATTTAATTAGTTTCCAAAATCAGACCCATTTCTCACCTATGCTGAAAATTTCACCAAAATGCATCCTTAATTTTGCTATTAACAGACAATTTATTTATCAAATAATTGAACAATAAATAAATCACTGCCAAAATGTAATCGTTTGTTACTTGTTCCCTCCCGAGTTTCTAAAATAAATCACCAAAATCCGTTTACAACATAATAGTGCGGCATCTAGGTCCCCGCAACGTTACTCCTACTTCCGCTACACCCCGCAGTTATTACTCGCATCGTTACTCTCCATAATAAAAATGCGGCCTACATGTATAAACATAATACCAGTAAACAAAAGCCTATTTCGAATCGCCATTTACCCGGTAAAAAAGTCCGAAGAGGGAGGGCAACGAAGCGTAGGCGTATAGATACGGATAATAGTCTCTCTCAAAATTTTTCAATATGGGAGTCATAGTGATTTCATATATGGCTAAATCACTTTTGCGAAACTTCCTATTTTGAATCAAATTATTTCAATGTTCGGTAAAGATTGTTTGGATGTCTCAGTTATAATGATATTATAATGAATCTGTCAATATATTTTAATCATTAGAAAGAACCGTAACCAAGTTTTAAGGATGCTTTCAGTTGTAAAAAAAATCGAGTGACTTTATTTACGACTCCTTCGCATAGTTAAAGTTACAATCAGCTTCAGTTTTATTGTGGTAAAGATTTGTAGTAAATATTCTTAATAGGGATCAAAATCGCTTGTTGAAGGAATCACTTAATGATTTATGTGCTTCTTTCTGTAAATTAGTCCGATTATATATGGAGAATATGTATTTTATACCTTTGTATTGTCATCAGAGATAATTTGGTCAGTCGCACCGACCAATAGCTGGATTGTCCGTGCTATCTTAAGAGACCCTAGATCTCTCAGTCAGAAATATGTACATGTAAGAAAAGAACATATATACTGGCGGTAAATTAATTCAGAAACATGATATCAAAGTAAACACTTGTACACAATTTCGGGAAATAAAAATGTTGATAACAAAACGTGATACTATTAAGATACTAAAAATATAAGTATTTAGTTTACATATTTCTCTCCTCAACTTTCAACATGATTGGTTTTTCGGGTCTCATCGCATCTGATTTAGAGAGAACCAGAGGAATCTGTGTCTCCGCGCATGTCTTCAACGTGAAGTTCTGCAGGACCTTCACAAGGATAATCTTCATCTCGAGCAAGGCCAGGCGCATACCAATACAGCTGCGGGGCCCCATACCAAACGGCAGGTAGCAGAAAGGGTTGCGTTTTGCTTTAGCTTCTGGTGTGAATCGTTCCGGATCGAATTTCTCAGGGTCTGGATACTTTTCAGGATCCATATGAATAGCATAGATCGGGATTATAACGACTGTTCCTTTGGGAATGAAAAGGCCGTTTACAGTGGTGTCTCGGGTGGGCACACGGTCTTGACGAAGGCCAACGGGATACAGTCGCATTGACTCGTTTATGACCTGCTCCAGATACGTAAGCTTGGACACGTTGTCATATGTGGGTTCGGCACCTTGAAGAACATCATCTATCTCCTCTAAGAGTCGTTGCTGCACCTCTGGGTGGGTCGCTAGGAGATACGATGTATACCCTAAGGTGTCATTTGCAGTCCCATAGCCTGCAATAAAGAATAGCAGCCCGTTGCCTGCAATTTCTTCCGTCGTCAGTGCTTTTTTCTTCCATTTTTGAACCTCCTTTTCGTCATCACTCAGCTCCGAGGTCGACAAGGTGTGAGCAGTGAGCATCAACTGCATAAAATCGTTGTAGTGGCCTTCTGGTGCTTCTGATCTTTTTTCCAGTATGTCTTTAGTAACTTCTCCAAAATATCGGAATGACCCCAATAACCCACGAAATCCAGGCACATGCCGGAGTATGGGTTCCATTTTTTTCATCAAACGTGGGAAAAACAAGATGAGGAATATAAATGGATCCGTAATACTGAAATGAGTAGCAATTTCAGCATTTTTCACAAACGGGTGGTTAGGATTGTTCAATGAATCAACCTCGATTCCAAACGCTGTAGCACATATCACGTCCATTGTGAAGCGACCCCAGATTTTGTTGTCAAAACTTTCTCCAGCTTTAGCTTTCTTCTTCAAGTTTTCTACCAAGGTGTTGGCGCACCTAAGGATGATGTCCTCCATGCGTCGGAGCCGCCCGGAGCTGAAGGTTGGAGTCAGCGTACTTCGCATCTGGAAAGACAAAAATGACCGTCTTTTGTTCAGTTAATCTTAGTGCCCTCAAGAATCAATTACCAAGAAAGCTTAACCAATGATATCTAAAATCAAGAACTCTCCGTTGAAGCAGACCTGCCAAACAGTTAGGACGCAAAACCCACCACATAACCCGAAATCGCTGCCACTCAACCCAAGGTGTCAACTTGTAAGCGTAACGCTGTTCACCAAACCCAATATAGAAATGCAAACAAGGTCACAGACATGCTCTTTAAAATATTTAGAGCACAGATTACAAACTATGTTAGATTATTCTAGGGTACCACATAAAGAAGTTTGTATCAAAGTTTCACTCCCCTGGAACTATGAATAATAAAAGAAAAAATAATTCGTCGTTTAACCTCAAAAAGGAACATACATTACCGTCACAAATGCAAAACGTTCAGCTGTGGAAACATTTTACTCACATTAAAAATTCAATCATTACTGGTTTTGTTCGTTAATTTATCTCCTACAAGTATAACGCTGTAAAAATTATGACAATCTTCTGTATAAAGCAGTAATTTTTTGAGCGACTTTAGTTCGCTTGTCACTGAATATTTAAAAGGGGGGGGGGATACACCATACTGACGGTAAAATAACTTAAGCATTAACAAACGGGTTTCCATTCGTGGTCCATATATTGTATCAGAAATGACAAACTATGTACAGACGTGTTAAAAATTAAAAGTAGAAGTAAAATTGAGTAAGCCGTGGATTCTTGTTCCATAAACATACTGTAGGCCTATATGCTTTTAAAATTGAATAAAAATTTCGAATTCATTCATTTTTTTTTCTAGATATTTCAGCATGTGAAATGCACCTCTATATTGGGTTTGGGTGTGCTCGTCTTACACCACAAATGAGGCTTTGCTTTCGCGAAGTCAACCTGTCCAGACGTAGGTCACGTCGCAGGGGCGGATCCAGGATTATTTGAAGGGGGGGTCCACGGATGCGAGGCCGACGCTTCCCCCCCTCCCCGCCTGCCCTTGGCGTGGAGCCCGGGGCCCACCAAAGGTCCCCGAAAATTTTTGGTATTTTTAGAGGACGATGATTTAGCTAGTCAAAGTTCTAATTTGGTGTGATTTTTTTTCAGATATCGAAGGGGGGGGGGGGGGTCAGGACAGCATTATCAAAATTTTTCATACACTTCTTATGTCTTGTATTAGCCAGAGACGTATCTGTGAATACCCAGTGAAAAGCGTGACAAATCAATTTGTGACCCTGGAAAAGGGTACATGTAGCACATGCGTGCTTTGTACCCTCTGGTAGACGGTAGGCCTATGTGTTTTGCACAATAAGCAGTGTGCTAATATAGGTTCGCACCGGGTATTTTTACCATCAATGAGGACGAATGAGAGAAGGTGGTTGACGATTCATAACAGAAGATAATATATATAGACTGCTAGTTGCTTTTTTGTTACGGCTACGAAATAAATCGATATAGGGTCTAGAAATGCGAATCACACGATGTGAAAAGGGCTTCAAACAAAATGTAACGAGTGAGCAGGGAATTATATGGATATAATTCCCTGGAGTGAGTAACACACTTTTAGTATCATTCGTTACATGTGTACCTGTTTCCATTCTTCACCCTTGACAGCAAAGACTGACTTATCAAACGGCTTCATTTGCGTATCCGAGTTTAGATTTCGATCCGTGAAGATGCTTGCTTGCTTTACCATCACCTCCTTTAACATGTCCGGATCTGTGATCATAATATCGCCCAAAATGTTCCCAAAAATACCGGACGAGAGCGCGGTAACTTTGCCATATGACTGTGTGACATTTCGGTCGAATTCACTAACACCGTTTTTCATCAAGTCCACCATGTGCCCCAGCAGGGGTAAAGGAGTTGGTCCTGGGAGGCCAAACTTGCGCCTGTTATCCCTGCTGTAGTGTAGGTAAATGATGGTCAGAACGGCTACAACCAACACGACAACTAGCCAAGACGGTAGGAAGAAGAAATCCATGCTGTGTCAGCTAAAACCTGTTAAAATGGCCGACTACTGGTGACTATTATGAGTCTAGGCTGAGTACGTGCTATCAATACTACAGAGCAGCACTCAAAATAGCAGGTATAGGCTTTTTGAGGTTACCAAAACAGGTGTCAAACGTTTGCACATGCGCGAAAGTGAGCTTTTTGAAACCAACAAATTGGCGAACATAAACAAAGAGTGCCAGTATTTCCCGTCTGGGTGATTTGACTTAATTTGCTTTCAAGTGTTATATTGGAAAGGTTTTGTTGATTGTATGTATCAGGCCTTAATTATCATCGAATCAGGTGTTTGCTAACTTGACTCTCAGATTTGTGACCATATTACCGACTCAAGCTACGAATTAAAGGGATTCATTTTGTTCATTTCATTTTGGCCAAAAAATGAATTTTCCTGGGGTAAATGCCATTTTCCCATACTTACCAATGGTAAATGAATCCATTTCTACATTCAAAATTAGTCCTTGTTTTTTTTTTCTAAAAAGTTTGTTTTTTGTAATAATCTCTTAAGAGTTTATTGCAAAGTATTGCCATCTATGGAGGTCACGTGGTCGGATGGCAAGCACAGATTTCAGAGTAATTGCTATAACTGCTGTTTTTGTGGTAAAAAATAATATATTATGTGTGTTGTTTACAATGTATTAATTGTGAAATATAGATCTCTTACGAAGAGTTGTTAACCCTTAAAGTACCGCAACGAAAAATCTATACTGACGACGAGTGTCAGGTCTGAATGACCCCCCCCCCCCCAACACACACACACACACACACACACACACACACACACACACATATAATGCTCAAGACATCAAAATGATCGAAATGAGAAAATCTATTGAAAAACCGTTATTGGATTGCGGTTTTACTGTATATTGTATGTTTTACAGCATAAAATAATTATATTCATGAGATTGCAGGTACCTTTCAACCCAAATACAATTTGAAATTCATTGATAATAAATGTTTTAACCTATGTATGCTCAAATGCGTGTGGTAGTGACTAAAACAAAAAAGATGTTCTGATATATATATATATATATATATATATATATATATATATATATATATATATATATATATATATATATATATATGCGATGAAACCGCATCAACATTGAAGTATTTTATTTAAAAGAAAAGGGTAATTTATAAATGTAGGTTATTATAATGTAACGAACTCTCCGAACTACAAAAACTGATAATCAAAATTTAAAAAACAGACATTCTTGATTAAAATACTGACTATAATAAAAAATCCCCTAATTATACGATTATCCTATTTTTTTTACATCCCAATATATAACAATCTTTTTTATATCCACATCAACCAGAAATGGAAATAACTAAAATTGATTCTAAATAAAAATGATAATATATGTAAGTTAATGTAGATAAAGTATCGCAATTGTACCCATGTTTTCTATAAAAATTATATATATGGATTTTAACTATCACAACACCAGTCTACATGTATATTTGTCATAGCAAGCATGCTTTTCCTATGAGAGTACTTATTTTACCCATTTAGCTTAAATAAATCTGTTTCCCATATCAGTTCGTCAAATTATGTAAAATAATCTTCATTTATAGGAACTGTCATTCGACTGTCCTTTTGTTGATTACAAAGACGTGCTTTGTCAATATTTAAATGTTGAAACAATTTAAAGTTACTTGATCAAATTGTAGAGCACATACGATTAGACTAGACAGTTGTAGTTGATTTATTAACAGTTGTGTTCAATGAAAACGTCTCGACACAGCGATCAAAGTAATCTCAATACTGAAAGATATTGGATTATAGAAAGGTAAGCAGCTGATTCCAAGTGCGCGATATTCATTCAGAAAAATATATACAATGATCGGGAGAGAGAGGGGAAGCCTTACGGCAAAAACAAATTTTTTTTTAGTTCGACCCTGGTTGAATGGGGTCAACCTCATTTATCTAAAAAAAATTAATTTAAAACAATGTCGGGATGTGGGGTTGATCCGGGCTCGGTCCCATTTGTTTTATGTGTCATAATCTAAAAATTATAACATGGCTGACAAATAGGTTTGTTTAAATACTCTTCTCCTCAACTTTCAATATGATTGGCTTTTCCGGTTTGACTGGACTTGATTTAGAGAGAACTAATGGTATTTGTGTCTCCGCACATGTCTTCAACGTGAAGTTCTGCAGGACCTTCACAAGAATAATCTTCATCTCGAGCAAGGCCAGGCGCATACCGATACAGTTGCGGGGCCCCATACCAAAAGGCAAATACGAATAGGGGCTCCGTTTTGCTTTAGCATCTGGTGTGAATCGTTCAGGGTCGAATTTCTCAGGGTCTGGATAAATGTTAGGGTCCCTGTGGATGGCGTAGATCGGAATTGTCACGGCCGTCCCCTTGGGTATGAATAACCCATTCACAGTGGTGTCTTGGTTTGCCACTCGATCCACACGAATGCCAACGGGATACAGTCGCATCGACTCGTTTAAGACCTGCTCCAGATACTTCAACTTGGACACGTTGTCGTAGGTCGGTTCGGCACCTTGAAGAACATCGTCAATTTCCTCAGAGAGTCGTTGCTGGACCTCAGGGTGCGCTGTGATGAGATATGACGTAAACGCCAAGGTATCATTTGCAGTCCCATAACCTGCAAGAAAGAATATCAACCCGTTGCCTGCAATTTCCTCTGTCGTCAGTGCTTTTTTCTTCCATTTTTGAACCTCCTTTTCGTCATCACCGACCTCGGATGTTGACATGGTATGAGCGGATAGCATCAACTGCAGAAAATCGTTGTAGTGCCCTTCTTGGGCTTGTTCTCTCACTTTCAGTAGATCTTTTGTCGTCTGTCCAAAAAATCTGAATGAACCCAATATTCTTCGAAATCCAGGAACATACCGAAGTATGCGTTCCAGTTTTTTCACCATACGCGGTAAAAGAATCAGGATGAATACAAATGGATTTGATAAATCAGTACTATTGGCAATTTCAGCATTTTTCACAAACGGGTGAGTAGGATCGTTCAACGAGTCAACTTCGATTCCAAACGCTGTAGCACATGTAACGTCCATTGTATAGCGGCCCCAGATTGAGTTGTTAAAACTTTCTCCAGCTTTAGCTTTTTTCTTCAAGTTTTGGATCAGGGTGTTGGCGCACTTGAGAATCATTGCCTCCATGTGTCGCAGTTTCCCGGAACTGAACGTTGGAGTCAACGTGCTTCGCATCTAGAACGATAAAATTAACAGTGATGTTCAGTTAGACTTGGTCATCATATTCGAATACAGAGAGTTGAGAGTTGGAAAGGGAGAAGGCATAGCTGCCCCTAGAAAATTGGCTCTATTTCACATCATGCATTCTCTTTACCTGTATGGAAACGTTTTGAGAGATGAACAACTAAACAGCTCGCAGTAAGAAAATCACCTAAATGAAGCCCCCGCACTCAACACGGCTGTTTAAGAGGGTTGATCTTTTGACTGTTTGAAGCGAAGAGAGCATCACACCGCAGGGGCGGGTCCAGGATAATTTGAAGGGGGGGTCCGATTTTTAGGAATGACAGGCCGCGGATGCGAAGCAGACCCTCCCCCTCCCCCGCCCATCCCCCTTGGAGTGGGCCCCGGGCCCTTAAGCGGGCCCCGAAAAGTTTTGGTATTTTAGAGGTCGAACGATGTCATTTGGTACAGTTTAGAACTATGATTCAGCTAGTCCAGAATCTAATTGCAAGAGGGGGCCATTGGTGTTATTTTTTTCAGAAATCGAACGGACTTTCAAGACCCCCCCCCCCCCCGACAACCCCCTCACCCCATTAATTCGCCACTGCCGCGAACCGAAATTACGTTGTGACCAGCCTAGTGTTGCAATAAAGTAATGCACACAGCATGATGTGAAAAGGGTCTAAATACAAAAAAGACGACTAAGGAAAATAATTTCAATATTATCCATTATATATGTGTACCTGTTTCCATTGTTCACCCCTGACTGCAAAAACTGACTTGTCTATCGGCGCCATCTGCGTATCCGAGTCTGTATTTCGATCCGTGAAGATGCTTGCTTGTTTTACCATCACCTCCTTTAACATATCCGGGTCTGTGATCATGATGTCCCCCAGAATGCTTCCAAAACAATCTGGAGAGAGTGCAGCTACTTTGCCGTACGTCTGAGTGACATGTAGATCGAAATCGCAGAGGCCATACTTCATCAAGTCTACCAAATGTCCCAGCAGGGGTAAAGGGGTTGGTCCTGGGAGGCCAAACTTGCGCCTGTTGTCCCAGCTGTAGTGTATGTAAATGATGGTCAGAACGGCCACAACCAACGCAACGACTAACCAAGACGGTAGGAAGAAGAAATCCATGTCGGTGGAGGCTGCTGGACACTGGACACTGGAAAAATGGCCGAAGTGGCTTTAGTTGATAATCATGCCACCAAGGTCCTACTTTGTGACCCGAGATTAGATATTGCGCAAACGCGTTGCCGTCGTATAGACTTAAAGTAAACTTTCTTACAGAAACTCACACACTAACTGAAAGGGCCATAAGTCCACAAACAGTGCTCCTCAAACATTTGAAGAGATTATCTTTAAAGTAACATACAACCCAGAGACGCGTGTCCAGTGTCTAACGATAAAAATTACATGACTTTACCTGGAGTTTATCGGACGTCTTATTTAAAAACGATGTAATCAAATTTCAAACGGGGGTAGGGGGGGGGGAGAGACACTGTCCACTCCTTTATAACCCCGTCATACTAGAGGCGGAATGAGCAAGAATGCCGTCGGAAAGACAATTCTTTGCGCGTTCCTGGCGTTTCATTTTAGTCAACGTGTCGTTAAATATTGTTCAAATTCAACGATCTTTTTCACAAAGGAGATACGTCAGATTTTACGTTTGGATAGATCTCAGAGTCTCAGAAGTGATATTTTCTTTTCACATTTTTTCAACAAACGCAAGTATATCTGTTATCAGCACCTGCCGTTGTTTTCGCCTTATGGAATGTGGGGTTATATTAGCGCCTAAATAAGTAAACAACGAGCAATCTTACCGAATACTTCGGGGAATTAAGGAACCATTCCCACAGATATTTGGATCGACCTATCTCCCTGGGGAGTCTCACTAAATTGCTATCAACTTAACCGGGTTAAATGTCCATCACGCCTAGTAGGCTGTTAGGGGGTAATTATCTAAGAATGTACCATCCCAATTAGATATGCAAATTCAAAGAGGTTATAAACTGGAAAAAGTTGTCTCCATTAACATAAAACAAAGTAAGGCACAGTTTTTAACATTTAATAGGCAATTGCATAGCCTTGTTAACCTAAAACAAAAATAAGGCACAATTTTTAACATTTAAGGCAATTCAGTATACGTCCTTGCAATTACACAGCCTTCTATATTGGATGAAAGAAATTAAAGAAAACATTGTAGAACATGATTGGAAAATGCAGTAAAATGTTCCACATCATATAATGGCTATCTTGCTAATCTTCAAACTAATGTTTTTATCAAACAATATGAATCTAGATGTTTGTAGTGAAACTACTATGGGCAAAAGTCACATTACGTGTAAAAAATCCATAACTTTTGTAAAATTAAATTGATCATGATTTTTTTCTTCTGAAAGAAGTCTATTTTACAAAAAAGTTAATCATGGTGAGAACGCTGCAACCATTTTTCCAAAAAAAAAAAAAAAAAAAAAAAGAAAAAAATTCAATAATTTTCATAAGATATAGTGATAATGCTAAGTTTGTAACTTACAACAGATATTTAACAGAAAAATTCAGTAAACGATGGTATGTGAGACTCTCTTACAAAAATAACATTGCGCGCATCAATTTATCATAGGATTAATTCTAGACGCATAGTGATCTTGTAAGTTGTAAATCGTCTTCATCATCAGTGACTTGAAAGAAGCAAAGCAAGCATTTGTCTTCTTAGAAAGGGTATGAAAAGAAGATAATGTTTATCTATTCTAAACTGATCTCTCTTCTAATTTCAACCAGATTCCTTTCTCGGGTTTCATGAACTTTGTTTTTGATATCACCAGTGGGATTTGCGTCTCCGAGCAAGGTTTGAATGTGAGACGTTGCAGAACTTTTACCAAGACGATCTTCATCTCGAGCATTGCCAGCCTCATACCAATACAGTTGCGGGGCCCCATACCAAAAGGCATGAAGGTGTACGGGTTCCTCTTTGCTTTGGCTTCTGGGGTGAATCGATCTGGATCAAACTTTTCAGGTTCTGGATAATGTTCAGGATCCCTGTGGATAGCGTAAATCGGAATGATCACGACTGTCCCCTTGGGTATGAAAAGGCCGTTCACAGTGGTGTCCTGGTTGGCCACACGGTCTACCCGAACGCCAGCAGGATACAGTCGCATCGACTCGTTTATGACCTGCTCCAGATACGTAAGCTTTGACACGTTTTCATAGGTCGGTGCGGCGCCTTGAAGAACATCATCTATCTCCCTGACGAGGCGATCCTGTATTTCGGGGTGGATTGCTAGAAGATATGATATAAACCCTAAGGAATCGTTTGTGGTGCCAAAACCGGCAGTGAAAAAATAGCATACCGTTGCCTGCGATTTCGTCTGTCGTCAATGCCTTCTTCTTCCATTTTCCAACTTCTTTTTCATCTTCTGCCAGCTCTGAAGTGGCCATGTTGTGGGCATTTGACATGAGTTGTAAAAAATCATTGGAGTGTCCCTCCTTGGCTTGTTCTCTCTCTTTTAATAGGTTTTCGGTGATTTTTCCGAAATATTTAATCGGGCCCGCAAAAGCTTTAATGCCAGGCAGGTAGGGGAGCACTGGTTCTAGAAACTTCAGAAGGCGGGGAAAGAAGAAAAGAAATCCTGAGGCTGATCCAAAGTCGAAGTTGTTCAGACTTCGGGCATTAGCAACAAACGGGTGGTTTGGATTGTTCAGAGAGTCGACCTCGATTCCGAATGCAGTGGCACATATGACATCCATGGTAAAGCAGCCCCACGTGTTATTTTCAAAGTTTTCACCAGCTTTTGCCTTCTTTGTCAGGTTGCTGACCAAAGTTTCAGCGCACTTGTTTATTACGCCTTCCATTTGTCGAAGCTTCCCGGAACTGAACGTTGGAGTCATAGTGCTGCGCATCTGGAATTATAAAATTGCAGGTTTTATTGAACAAGTATTGAAAACCACTTTTAAAAAGTTATACAAGTGACATGAAGTGAATGGTTTTATTACATTTTTATTAAAATAGAGAATTTTATACGATTCGTTCGAATTATTTTTTTAATATCCCGTAAAGCTTCACATCTTTCCAAAGTCAGACATTACAAATGATAAAGCCCCTAAAACTAAATCATTAATTAAAATCAACAGTACAAGAAAATCGAATCCATTTGCAAGGGACGGGACGAGCAATGATTCATTAGTAGGAGAAGTTGCTTTTTTCTCGATGAAACAGAAACTTTGTGCGAAAATCCCGTATTCGACATCTCTACGACATCTTTAAGGTGTAAAGGAATGTGAATAGCTCAGTTGGATCCGGACTCCACCCGTTGCGATAAACGTATATCAATAACACACCCACCAAAGTAATGCATGAATAACCTTCAACGCCCCGCAGTATTTTGTCAACTTGGTCTAATATTACAGAGTCTAAACGCGAGCACAAGTTCGTCTGAGCAGATGACATGTCTTCTCAGAACTGCATTTACATAGTACCTCTTTTATTTGGTAACAATATATACTAATAAATGTCAGTGATAATAGTAATAATTGGATCTACACTCTAGTGATAACTGTGTTTTCGACAGCTCATTGCTCTAAATAATGATATAATAATTCTAATTATACAAATAATAATAATAAAGCGTAAGCGTCATCCAAATATCCCATTATTGCCATATCATTTCCAAAGAGAGCAGAGTGTTCGCGCATGCACGTGGAGCTTACATGTACATGCACGCGGGCACGATTATATAGATGTCTTTCCATTGAATTTTCTCTAAACAATGTCTAGATTGTGTATAAACAATAGTTATTCGCTGTCACTGCGACGATGAACTCCTGTCCGCGCTGCAGCCTCGATCCAGTTGAAACTACTGGCATGCTGCGTGTTCCATCTCCAGCACCTTGAGAGGGGGGCGTCTCGATAGTCCGAAGATTCATTGGTCCTAAAAATGGTAACATGTTCATCGTTATTTTTTTAATCAAGGGTTTATTGGTCCCAAAGTTCTATAGTGAACATTCGGACCAATGAACCTTCGGACTGTTGAATCTTCGGACTATTGCTACGGTCCCCCGTGAGATAAACAGACATCAGCAGAGAAAAGTAATTTGACTCACCTGCTTCCAGTGTTCCCCTTTGGCGAGAATCACCGACTTGTCTAGGGGTGAAATCGTCATGGCCTGGTTCCTGTCGGTGAAAATATTCCCCTGTTTAACCATTACCTCTTTAACCATTTCCAGGTCAGATATTATGATATTCCCCAGAAGGTTTCCATAAAGAGCCGACGATAAGGCTACCACTTTTCCACAGGTCTTGGTGACGTATACGTCGAACTCACACAAACCATACTTGACAATGTACGGAAACACTCCAAGAAGAGGATACGGGTCTGGGCCGGGAAGACCAAACTTACGTCTGGTGTCTTGGGAGTAATGTAAATAGATGATGGTAAGTACTGCCACAATGACCAGTACTACCACCCAAGAAGGTATGTAAAAAAGGTCCATCTTGACTCCACTGCAGTTCCCCTTAACCTTGAATATTTCTTTCTCTTGGCGCAGTCACTTCTGGGCCAGCTATTGTATACTGCGCATGGTTGACCTTTTTTTTATCTCGTGTCACTTGTTGAGATGACATACATATTGCCATAGAAGGAAATACAAATTTAGTAGGCTTAACAAAGATAGGCCTAAGCCGTTATATGGTGACATATTAGGACGCACTCCTTTCAGCAGTGTACGGTCGGTGTGACAGGGACGTGTGGTATGGACATGAATTTCTGTAATAATTCGACTGGGAACAGTGTCCAATAAGAACATTTGTCCTAACGGAGTATAAATATAGCTGGGAAAGTAGATCCGGGTAGGACAGTACATCATAGGGAACGCATTTCTCAGGATTTTTTTTTCATAAAAATTTTAAGCACTTTTTCCTCAATTGCCAAGCCGCATCATACCCAACACGTATACACCGGTCTTTACACAGGATTTTATACACATAAACTCTATACTGACAGAAAAAAATCCATTATTATTTATGTTGTAAAGTTAATGACGTACGCTTACACTTATTACAATTAGTAATAAAAGTTAAATTAAATAGATGAAAAGTTAGTGGTATTGAGTGTAAGTTAAGTTTCATAAAGAGTCAACAAGTGTAGAACGTTTTTATTGTCAGAAAAAGATGGAAAACGCACAGTCAGTAACAGTTTACGTGATTGGTTAATTTCATAATGGATTTTAATTTTCATCAACTGTTTATCATATGATAACTGAGTTTTGGATATGATTCAGGTATGAGTAATTCAAATAGTATTATTGTTAATTCTAGTTGAAAACAAGGTTCTCAGACATTGCCTAATAAGGGTTCTATGGTTAAGTCAACATGAGAATGGAAAGTTACTCTAAAATTGCATGAAAAGTGAGGAATCCAGAACGACATCGTCGTTTCAATATTTTCAATGCATCTGTCCTACAAGCATAATTTTTTTATGAAGTTTAGCGGAGACAAATGACCAACCACTTATATTATGAGTTTCATATGGAGATATTTCATATTTGGACCTGTCTTTTTCATTTTCACCGGTTTGGTAATTTATTAGACCATATTTACGTTCTTTACCCAAGAAGAATCAACGACTCTCTCAGGCAGGTTATGGGCGTACAGAATCGCACTTATTGAGAAATAAAGAGGCACTGGAGGCCGTCTCTAGGTCATTGCGACCCGTACGCGCGCACTTGAATGCTGATCTCATACATGAGTGATGTACATAGTACAAAGATAGTCTGCCAAGGTTAACGATGAAGTCAGCTGCGGTAATATTTTTCAAGATATGACCTCAGCGGCCTCTCCCGATCCTCAAGAGACATACATGGTTAGAAAAAGCGTCGATGTTAGCTATGGAGGTTACATCAGATTTATTTTTAAAGTTCGTTTCATGGTGCCTAAACAGTGCATTTGACCGTATAAATACTTGTCATTTTTCTGGGTTAAGAAATTTGCTCACTAACATTTTGCAATATATAAATATTTTCAACATCGTGACAAAATTGAATATAAAAATGTTTAAATGACAAAGCTCCTTATTTCATCTACTTTGTAAGTGATGCTTCCTACAAGCACTTTGTTCTCTATGAAATAATTTTTTTAAATTTTCTGTTGCGAGGGTAGCTAGGCTATATTTGGCCAAATACGGTTAGAATTCGTGGCCCGTGTCTTTATATGTCCTCGAAACAGTTCATTTTTCAGCCAAACACTGAATTGTTCTGCGGTATCATGTTCTGTTTTGTGATATGTAATCATGGAACATTTAACATCATCATGTTAAAAATAAGAAGAGTTCAGAATAATATGATACGACCTCGTACATCGCATGAATTCACAGTCAGTGACACGAAAGAAGCAAAGCATGCATCAATCTTCTTAGAAAGGGTATAAAAAGTTAATGTTTATCTTCTCTAAACTGATCTCTCTTCTACTTTCAACCAGATTCCCTTTTCGGGTTTCATAGGCTTCGTCTTTGACATCACCAGTGGGATTTGCGTCTCAGAGCAAGGCTTGAATGTGACACGTTGCAGAACTTTTACCAAGACGATCTTCATCTCAAGCAGGGCCAGCCTCATACCGATACAGTTGCGGGGCCCCATACCAAAAGGCATGTAGGTGTACGGGTTCCTCTTTGCTTTTGCTTCTGGGGTGAATCGTTCTGGGTCGAACTTCTCAGGTTCTGGATAATTTTCAGGATCCAAGTGGATAGGATAGATCGGAATTACCACGGCCGTCCCTTTGGGTATGAAAAGGCCATTCACAGTGGTGTCTTGGTTGGCCACTCGATCCACACGAATGCCAACGGGATACAGTCGCATCGACTCGTTTATGACCTGCTCCAGATACGTAAGCTTGGACACGTTGTCGTAGGTCGGTTCGGCACCTTGAAGAACATCGTCAATCTCCTGAACGAGCCGTTGTTGCACCTCTGGGTGGGTCGCCAGGAGATACGTAATAAACCCCAAGGTATCGTTAGTAGTGCTAAAACCCGCTGAGAAAAACAGCATACCGTTGCCTGCAATTTCGTCTGTCGTCAATGCCTTCTTCTTCCATTTTCCAACTTCTTTTTCATCTTCTGCCAGCTCTGAAGTGGCCATGTTGTGAGCATTTGACATGAGCTGTAAAAAATCATTGAAGTGTCCCTCCTTGGCTTGTTCTCTTTCTTTCAATAGGTCTTCGGTGATTTTTCCGAAATATTGAACCGGGCCAGCGAAGGCATTGATACCAGGGATGTATGGAAGTATCGGCTCAAGAAACTTCATTAGGCGAGGGAAGAAGAAAAAGATTACAATAAGTGGGTTGCCAAATCCGACGTTGTTCAGGCGATTGGCATTAACAACAAACGGGTGGTTTGGGTTGTTCAGAGAGTCGACCTCGATTCCAAATGCAGTCGCAGATATGACATCCATGGTGAAGCAGCCCCATATGTTATTATCAAAGCTTTCACCAGCTTTTGCCTTCTTTGTCAGATTGCTGACCAAAGTTTCTGCACACTTATTTATCATTTTCTCCATATGTCGAAGCTTCCCGGAACTGAACGTTGGAGTCATAGTGCTGCGCATCTAAAATAACGAAACAATATATATTTCATTATTATTTTAGAAACAATAATTGTTTAATTAGTATCTTACTTTGAACAACAACCAGATGAATTACTTGCCATCTATTCGATGGTGGCATACAGTGCGCTTTCAGAGAACAGACCAGATCAGAACTGCTGCGGCGTTTGGTCTACCGTTAGGACAATCAGCAGTAAATAACAGGCCATTTTCTTCCCTGGTATTTGTAAAAGCTAGAAAGGTCTCTGTTAGAGATAAAGGTTAAATGATGGAAAGGGGAGGGGGGGGGGTTAATCAGTTAATATTAGAGAAAACAGAATACCGCGTGAGGGGGTAGGTAGGTAGGTAGGTAGTGTTGATGTGCAGCCTGTGTAGCTCGAGATGACGTGAACGACGACGACAAGTTATATAGGTGTAATGAGCTGAAGAAAACTGATTTACCTGTTTCCAGTATTCCCCTTTGACTACAAATACTGATCTGTCAATCGGCGAAATTGTTGTAGCCTCGTCGACATTCCTGTCAGTGAAAATGTTTGCCTGTTTTACCATCACTTCTTTCACCATGTCGGTGTCAGATATGATGATATCCCCCAAGAAGTTGTCCATGATACCCGAGGACAGTGCGGCCACTTTACCATAGGTCCTGGTGACATAGAGATCGAAGTCACATATACCATACTTCATCAAATCTATAAAAGGCCCAATGATAGGGAATGGCGTTGGGCCAGGGAGACCAAACTTGCGTCTGTTGTCCCTGGTGTAGTGAAGATAGACGATGGTCATAATTGCTATGGTGCACAGGCAAACCAGCCATGATGGGATGAAGAAAAGGTCCATCGTGATTAAAAATCGTTTAAACCGAAAAATTTCTGTCCTCTTTTCGTTTCAGTCAGGATAAAATGACGACTGTGCCGAGTTGTGATGTTATAATATAGAGAGGTGTCGTCAGCTGACCCCAATCTTGAACGAATATAAAAATTACACGGTCCGCAGTATCTTGACAAGTGCAAAGTACGAAGACGGGCTCGCTTTAGATCTTGGTTCTTGAATGAGCATTTGACGCTAATTTGACCAGCGCAACTTTAACAGAATGCTGAATACTGTGCAGTATACAGCTTACTGTTTACTTTCTGCTGCTGCAGCGTTTTCCTCCGTTGTTTACCTGACTTAGTTGTATTCAGTTCTGATTTGTCAGCGATTTGTGTGTACGATAGAGAAAAATAGGTCACTGGGTTTAGTTGACAGACGCACATTAGTGTGACCAAGAAGTTGGTGGTGGTG